ATAAAATCTTGGACATTTGGTTTCAGTCAGCCATGTAGGGAGGTGTAGGCTGCCTGGTTGGGGTCGTCTGGATGCCAAGAATCAATCACTACAGACGGTTGGTGATATGATTAAAATTCGTACTCAATGGCACAGATCTATTCACACTTTGCAATCATCTCTAAAATCCATTAAAGCTTCATATTTCCACATGTTACCATTCTTACTCTTGCACATTTCTACTCATTAGAAGAATTCCCTTGAATCTCTTTGCTCTACACTTTTGTGTCACATAGAGTATGGCAACTTGAATTGCTGAACTTCTGTGCAAAGTTTCTGTGTTGAAACTCAGTCAGTCAGTAATGTGTTTAAAAACTGTGAATAATTTCAATATCTTCAGCATAAAGCCACGTCTATTGCGCTTTTTTCTTATTCCTTTACCTTCCCAGTGGAACATAGGGCTTCCTCAAGCTAGAGGCTTGAAGTTTCAGTAGCAGTGGTCTGATTTTATTTTTACAGGATGGGGTTGCTAGCCTCATGCCCAACCTTCCCCCTCTTTATCAATCTTATTACTGGCGGTGGTTGCGTACTGCTGATGATTTCCAAACTACTCCCTGTGGCTGGTTTTCAATGCTTCTCTAACAAATATCAATCCGTGATCAACTCGTAAAACGCATTGAATTAATCATACAAAACGACAAATGCGAATGTTTTTCAGATCATGTTCAAATAGATAAGAGGAAGGAAGTATGAGAGATTAAAATTAAGATAAACTGCATCACACTTCAATTACATCACTAAGATAAACAATTAGTCATTTGAGAGGGAACTTAAATACATCAAGAATTGCGAACTGAGTACTATTAATAGTAGTAATAATGATGTTAAGAAAAGTTAATATAATGGCAATGATAAAAGATAATTTTAAATGAATCAGAAATAGTAATAGTTAGAGGGGGGGGGGTAAAGTGTTACTAATATTATCAATAATAATAATAACAGTTAGTAAGTAAAACGTATTACCATGGTAGATTCAGAGTGACCACCATTTTCTTTTGTATACAGAGACCTGGTTTACAATCTCTAATTGCACAAGCCTCCTCGACAGTGGCAAGCATCTTCCTGTTTATTCATCTGTTGACAACAGTGAGTGACTTGACAGTGTCAATATTATGTTCGTAGTTCACAAGATGTTTTGTCATTGACCTGTTTTGTCACTTTGACTTCAGCTGTTTTCAGCTACCTTGGCAAATGCTTTGTCATGCGAGTAGACAATCGCTTTCCTGTACAACCTATGTATTCGTTTTCACGAAAAACACATTCAAATTGATATACGCAGTTTGCTAATCAGTCTTATTGTCTCCCAATCTATTTCTATTAGTAAATATATCCTTGTATGTTGAGTATTCAGTTGAAGAGTGCTAGGGAAACTTGATGAATTCATTAAATACAGCTTTATTAACCTCTGTGTTGCTTGTTTTGAATTTTATCAGTCACACTTCACTTCAACGCTTGATTCATTAAGAGATACATGTTTTGAAAATAATAAATGATACTAGGATACAAATGTGTACAACTTAGGCACTGTAGTTGTATTTAATACTATATTGATTTGCTTATTAGGTATATCACATAGTGAGACAAATTATTAATCACTGGATGACAAAGTTTCAAACACAGTTTATTGTTCAGAATCACATCAATTATAACTGCGAAATTTCGAAACTTAATTTTTATAGTTCCCTTCATTCCTTCGCATTAGTAGCAGAACTCCATTTCGGCAGGTGTTAAATCATTCCTACTACACATATTTCCAGGTGTTACGATAAATAAAGCTTCCGTTATCAATCTTCCTCCCCCCGCCACTGCCTACTCTGTTACGTTAGATTTTAAAACTGTCATCTTATCTCACACGTCCAATTATATGATTGCATGTGGTGTGATGCTACAGCTGAACTATTTTCCCAGTTTTCTGGAGAAATTTTTAAAATTGAATATAATATGGTGGATGGAGAGATTTGATAACTGAAGCTTTATTTATCGAATCAACTGGAAATACTTACAGTAGGAATGATCCAACCAGATATCTGGAAAATTCTACTACCCCTACGACAGATAGGAAAGAATAAAGAAAACTATAAAACGAAAGTTTCAAAATTTTTTAGTTATTATTGATATGATTCTGAACAACAAATTGTGACTGAAACGTTGCCATCTAATAAATAATACTCTCTCACTATGATAACTTTAATAAACAAATTAACAGGATTCTTGGCTAGTTTGATCTGCAAATAAGCCATATATTAAAAATGACACTTTAACTTCATATTCCAGTAAACAGAGAACAATGAAATGCCATAAAATGACACTGAAGTAGATTGTTTGTTCACCGTAAGTCAACATGTCGGCTCTTATTTGTATACGCTTCAGCAGTGTCTGTGGATTAACTTGAAGCAATCTGATGGCTAACGACTAGCAAGTATTATTTGGGATGAGCACTTCTTCCTCTCTAAGACTCGTCATCTGGATGTACCTGAATTCCACAGGTGGTCAAAGCCGTCTGGTGGTAGATAACTTTCCAGCATAGGAAACGATGGATATTTTGTTCCAGTCCCAGCAGGAACACTATCACGCATTCACTGAAGAATGCGAGTACATCGCCAGATGAAAAATCTCAAATAGGATGAAATACGCATTCTCTATTCCATTGGCAGTCAAAATTTACCAAATAACTTCAAGTGTTGTTAATTAGTCAACAGCAAGGCAAAATCGCAGAAATTGATGGAATCAAAAGTTAAGAGGAAAGGGGAAAAAACAATTCGATTTAACATGAATCAAAAATGCAAAACCTCATACAAATAAGATATCTCTTGGTTCTACATTTCTGTATCGTTGTGAACATCAAACTTTTGATGTTAACTAGAGTGCTAATTTAATTTATTGATTTTTACTGTAATGCTTCTAAAAAACGAAGACCACTCTTCAATCATATTATGTGTAGCTTTGTGAAGACTTAAATTTACTTCCAAATAGCTTTTAAAAAAAGGTACCTTGTCCTGATTCTATTATCAAGTGTGATTTACAGTTTGAGTTGCGAACCCTGGCTTATAGGTGTAGAAGCTTGACTTCCAATTAATCAGTCTATGGCTTAAACTCCACTATGACTACAGAGGTTTGGGTAGGCAGACAGTATCAGTAGCCTTCACACACAGAATAGGTGTGACCCATTGCCAACCGCATGCAGCTGTAAAGGATTATTCAGTTACCTTTGCTACATTTTTCTCATAATAATAATAAAACCTGATTAAAAAAATAAGTTGTAGTTCCTCAAGTTAGAAAACCATAACTAGACTGACAAAGCGACAACAAAAGATTTGAACTTCACAGGTGATTTTCATCGTCTTATGTCATATAGACTCCAAGATCTACAGGTGACAACCAATAAATTCTCAGAAGAGGCAGGCAGGCAGCGAAAACGAGACTTCAAGTGTACGTCTGGAGGACAGAGGTAGGCGATGAAGATAAATAACCAACAATAACAACAACAGTCTTCAGTCACCATGGACGGGCGAAATTTGAAGAAAGTTCCCACTTTCACTAACCTGGCGAGGCAGCAGCATCTATCTCACCACAGACAGACAGCACAGATAAAGATGTCAAAGTCACAAATGGAAGAGCAAGACCCACCTTCATGAATTTGAAATCAGTCTGGAAATCTACTGGACTCAGCACGAAGATTAATATATATTATGCGGTTTTGAGAATTGACACGTCATGACAAGCATTCTCATCAGCAGACTAGTAGAGATTTTCATCAGTAGCTACAGACTTTGCTGCATACAGAAGATCAGATGACCTGACAGAATGAGGAAGCAACAAGGAGCTGTCTCAGCAAGTCAACCAACAACTTGTGACCCATCGAATATTTGGAAGGGGATGGATGGATTGGACAAACACTGAGACGACTGTTAAGTAATATCACACATCGAGTAGGCGCTTGATTTGAACCCGAATAGTAATACTGAAGTTGGGCATAAGTCCAAAAGTGACATGGCGGAGGTCCTAGAATCACAGAATGATATACAGCTGGTCGTCTCACTTCTTAATGACATGAAGTTTTCGGACTCCAGTCAGTACACTTTACGACATTTGACCACTTCACTTGTTAACATTGAAAGATTCAAGAATTGTTCACTCTACAAAACAGGTGGAAAAAACACTAGCGCAAAGCTTTTTTCCAATGCGGGAGCTACATTGTGCTTGCTTCTTATTCGTCGAAAACAGATATCTCAATCCCGGCGTAACTCTCTAGTTTGCTGGACAAGACATTGTTATTACCTACGGTCAAATGCTATGACTTCCGAATCTTGACTATACTGTCTACAATTCCTTCTTTAAAACAAGCAAATCTGTCGTTAAATGCCATTAAAATTGATATTTATGACATAATGGAAATTTAACAGATTCAAAAATTCAAATACTGAACACCTTAATAGTGAAACCAAAGAAACCTGAGCTCACAACAATGCGGAAATAAAGCTGAACGATGCGTCGATAATGTAGGACCCTGATAATAAGATTTCTATGTTCAGACAACCAAGTCTGTCCTGAAATCATGCACTTAATGTTGGCAAAAAGCACTTTGTGCTGAAGTGATGCTTAATATGAGGAAATAATGCGGGGTAAAATCCAGTTTGCATAAGAATAAGGCGAGTTATGTTGAAAAATAGTTAGAATACAAAAGATCACTATTTCTACTTTCACTAACACTTTCTGCACTGTTGTACGCTTGGTATAGTGTACTACGACACAGTAACAGTGAAAAAACTAAGTTTACAAACCAAATAATCAACAAGTGAACCAAGACTAAATTTGGAAGGCAATATGTTACTTATAAGTAATCGATTCTTTACATGTAGAATACTCTGTTTGATATTTAAATGTCAGCAAAAATCATTGGGACGGTGATTACAACATTAGTTTATAATAAAGTGCTAAACAAAAAATAATATCTGATGTACCTGATTATACAAATAACACTAATTTTAACGAATCTGTAAAGGCTGTTTATGTGGCTATCATGTAAACACAACGGTCCTCCTGTGACGGAAATTCATCTAAACACATTAAAACATACAAACCGTTAAAATAACTATTATTTTCTACCGAAAACCATGGTTCATTGCAATGAACAAAAAAGTAAAACAGGTAGACGCGATTACACGTTCACAACCTTGAAAATTACAATGAAAATTACAATTCTCCCACCAAAAATTAAACTGGATCTTAACACGACCTTCAGATTCCAATATCCATTATCCAATCCAATATCGTTTTTACGAACTAGTAGTATAAACCAATTTGATTTCTTTGTGCTTGCCTCTTGATTGTGAGGTAGAGGTTCCTGATCTTTGGTAAACGTCTGCGTAGCTCGTCCTGCCACTCGACTGTCGTAGCTTTGGTTAACTCCAAAAGGAGTAGTACAGGGATTAATTATATGTGGTTTGTAGTATGAGGTGTGTTAAGACTGTTACTACTGTGAATGGAGTTGATCCTTTCACCAGTTGGTCCTTCGGTGTCGTCGTCAATAGAAAAGAGATAATATTAATAGATATAATTAGTGAAGGTATTCAGACTAACAGACAGAAAAAGAATAAGAAAACGTAACAACAGTCAGTCAACCGGTATATATGTACCTGTGATAATGATAATAATAATAATAGGCGTAGTTAAAGCTGTCAGGAGAGTGAGACGGAAGAGAATGTAAAGAAGTAAAACGACAAGTTTAATTGTCTACCCTAGAATGGTGTATGCGATTTTAAGGGGATAGGCCATTTGGATGAAGTCCTTGTGTCGCTGCGTGGTTGTCCAGCCTTCGCTTAAAGGCGTCCACAGATGGTGCCATAGCTACATCTGCCAGTAAGGAATTCCAGGGATGGCAAACCCGCAGGGAAAAGAAGTGGGAGCGCACCCGGGTCCTTGCCCTCTGATGAGCTATCCTTCTAGGATTTCCACGAGGGAGCCTATACCTACTCAATGGCAGAACACCATTGTTTGGGTGATTCTGACCATTTGTTATTTTGTAGGCAGTAATTAAATCCCCGCTAAGACGACGGTAACTAAGTGTGAATAGGCCTAATTTCTTCAGCCTTTCATCATATGGTTTATTTCGGTGACCAACCACTCCTTTTGTTGCCCGTCGCTGGACTCTTTCCAAGAGGTTGGTGTCTCTTCTAAGCAGTGGGGGTGCAATAATATTATGCACTTCAAGGTGCGGTCTGATGTTTTGTGCAACATTAGAAAGAGCTCAGGAATGTGTAAAGTGTATGACCGCATATGCCCTCGCTACATCCCCGTGTAATTTATGCTTGTGTCCATTTTCTCCGTTAGAACTATACCCAAGTCACGTTCCGACGTTGTGCAGGACAAGCTTTCATTGCACAGGGTGTCACTTGCATTCTACAGTCTACAGGTGCGTAACTTCACTACTTTCCACTTTTTCAGGTTGAAAGTCATGCCACTGGCCACCGCCCAGTCTTCTAGAAGGTTTAGATCTTTCTGTAGCCTATCTGAGTCCTCCAGGCACTTTATCGCCCTCCATATCTCCATGTCGTCAGCGTATAGAAGAGTTGGGCAGCTTAGACTGCATGGTAGATCACTGATAAAAATCAAAAACATCAATGGTCCTAGGGTAGAACTCTACGACACTCCTGATGACGAGCTGTGCCAAGATGATCGGACTCGATTGACCTTCGTGCAAAATTGCTTTTCAGCTAGGTAGTTTTCTAACCATAATAATATATATTTACTCCTGTTTATGCGGGAACATACCAATTGCACAGGCATGGATAAGTTTTTATATAAATTACACATATTTCGATGTATGTTGAATTTACAGTTTGTCTGTTCTTTCTGACATTACAGTCAGTCGGAACAGTCTGCAAAATAGTCTGTCTGTGTAACACATAAAGAGATATAGAAATATTGTCTTCGCATTAACAAAAAACCCAGACATCAGATGAATGTGATACAAATATCTGGGAAAAATAAAGCTTGAAGTCAATTCTCCTATATAACTTTGTTGTGAACAGCATCCTTGAGTTAAAGTTAATTGATGTATTATTTTGAGGTCAGTGATGTATTTATTCCATTTTTCAGCAGTCTAATCGTAATTTTATAATAGGGAAGAAATTTGGTCGTGAATACGAAAACTAGATATGGTCATGTTAGATTGTTTTACTGCATCCAATGGAGCCGAGGTCGATTCTAGAACTACCCATTGGCGCCATTTGTATCAGTATGGCAGACTGTACACGTGAGTTGTGTTACACATTGAAAACTGTTTGAAAACCAGTTGCTTCTTTATTTCAGATCAAGAATACTCCTTGTACAGAATGTTGGCCAGCGTTTTCAAATAGTAGCATCGGATCGTTGATGGAATTTGAGTGTGAATTTACTTAAATGGTCATTTCAGTTTAGATGTTGGGTTGTTCGACCTCGACCAGGAGGTATATAGAAGTGCAGGCTCAGGATATAATACCAGAAAGAGAAAGTATGTAAACATGAAGAGAACATTAATATTTTATGTATATATAAATGTTTATAAAAGTATATCATAGTATAGTAAACATTACCTATAATCTAGTTGTTTTTTCATGTGCTTTTTGCGAAGTCTTAGAGTTTATTTAGTGTCGTAATATTTAGTAATGAGTCTAGGCGTTATAGTGTTCTAATAGCTCATGCGTTTTAGAAATAAGTGGTGCGGTCTGATTAGCATGGTCCTTGGGATGAAACAGTTTATATAGCAAGCGTTTGAAGGTTATAATAGAGAGACAGGTCCTTATTTCTAGGGGTAAACTGTTCCAGATCTTAGAGCACATGACTATGAAGAAGTTTGCACGGAGTGCTGTCTTACAGTTTTTCCTAGATACTGTGCGCGTTTGGTTACGAAGGTTGTAAGAGCCTTCCGGTGAGAACTGTATCTCCTCACTGTCTGAGAATGATATTTCATGCAAGATTTTAAAGAAGAATGTTAGGTTAATGCTGATTCGTCTCAATCAGAGTGGTTCGATATCTAGAGTTATACACCTTGATGTGTAGTCCTTTTCGCAGTCAAATCCTAATAGTTTAGACGTGAAGTGTCGTTGGACACTTTCTATTTTAAGCTTGTCACTTACGCGAGTGCTGCTGAGAATAAATGGACAATATTCTAGTAGTGGTCTGATACATGTTTTATATAATATAAGTTTCGCTTCGTAGTTGTGGAAATTCCTGAGTATGCATCCTAAGAGCATCCTCGATTTACGCGTCTGTGTCGCCACTTGCTCAGAAAACGTCATGTCACTAGAGTACCTGAGTCCTAGGTCAACAACACTTTGGTGTTTAGGCAAGTCAATAGATTCAAGTACTCGTTTGATATTTATTGAGGGTGCACCGAAACAGATCCAACCACATTTTTTAGGGTTGAATTTGAGGTTCCATGTGGAGGACCATGCAGTTACTCGATCTAGTTCTTCCTGAACAGCTTTCTGAAAGTACCCTAAGTCATCACAGGGGAATGTGTAAGCTACTTTAAGACCATCTGCAAAGGTGAATGGTTTACCAAGTGAGAAACAGCTGCATATGTCGTTGACATATAGAGTGAATAGGAGGAGGCCCAAGACGCTACCTTGAACTACTCCAGAACTGACTGGACTAGGCTTAGAATTTACAGACCCCAGTCTAACTACTTGGGACCTATTGTCAAGGAATGATTGAAGCCATCCTAATAATGGGTCACGTATTCCTGAGGAGTTCAGCTTATTTATTAGAAGCAAATGGTCAACACGGTCAAAGGCTTTGGATATGCCGCAGTAGATGACTAGTGCTAGTTGTTGTTTGTCTCGGCTACTAGTTTATAGTTAAAGAAGTCAAAGTGACAGGTCATGCATGATCTGGATTTTAGGAATCCATGTTGGTTGGGACTTAGAATATTGCAGCTGAGCATATGTTTGAGAATATCACCTTTAACTATTCTTTCCATAATTCTAGATGCTATGGGTGTAATATTGATTGGCCTACAGTTGTTGACTTCAGTTTTCGATCCGCATTTGTGTTTGGGTATTATAAATGTGGTTTTCCATTTATCTGGATAAGTTTGGCTTTCTAGGGACATTGTAAAGATCTTAAGTAATAATAGAGAAATGTCAGAACCACCGTGTTTATAAAAATACGATGGTATGCCGTCAATATCAACTTTACTGATTTGTTTCAGCGTTGAAGAAGAAGGGAGTTCCATTGTAGATTGTAAACCGAGAAGTGGACTTGTGGGCTTAAGGTAGTTTGCTGTTAACGTCTCGCTAAACAGCTCACACATGTCTGCATGGTTGCTGTATAGTTTACCCTTGTTTATAAGGAGAGAAATTTTATGGCTTTGGCGATTCATTCGTTTCTTTAGGATTTCTGTGAGAGCACCTACTCTGGTGGTGCTGGCTAGTGCGGAGCATTCTTCATTTCTCTTACGCAAGTTATGAGCTTGCGAGATGGAGCTAAGAGTACTAAGTATTGACCCTAGTGTACTAAAGCCGTGTCGTCTGAAGTAATTTGTTGACAGTCTCTTTAGTTTCTTACGATCCTTTGGCTTTATGAATGGCTTTCTATGTGGGGAAAACTTCAGTGTTTGAAGTGGGATGACAGCATCTAAGCATGTGTTTGAGTTATAGTAAAAGATGTCTAGAGCTTTCGAGAGGCTATCAGTATAGAAGTACTCATTCTATTCTGAGGATCTTAACACTGATTTCACTAGAGTCCAGTATGCCTTACTGTAGTTCCTGTATGTTATTCGTTGTGAAGCAGGGGTATGGGCTGCATTGCTACTTGGTGGAAGTAGCAGTGCACACAGCACTGTTTTGTGATCGCTCCATGAAAACTCAGAACCTACCAGGGTAGAAAGGGGACTTATATTGTGGCAGAAGATTAAGTCTAGTACGTTACTACTTCTTGTAGGTGTTGTGACAGTCTGTTCCCAGCCAAGTATATCCAGTGTGCCTAAGAACTTATCAAATTTAGTTGGGCCTGTGGGTATTTCCCAGTTGATTTCTGGTAAGTTAAAGTCTCCACATAGGATCTTATGATCGTAGTGTAGAGTGGATAATTGTTCCAGAGTATTAATAAGTTGGGTCTCGTAATTACTAAAGGTGCCAGGTGCTCTGTAGGTGTATCCAATTAATACTATTGCGTTATTTAAGTGTAAGTTAACTCATAAAGTCTCAGACATGTTAAGTGT